ACAAGAGGAACAAAGAGACCTTAGCGCACAGTTCAATTTTAAACACGGTCATTTTCAATTCTAGTCAGCAATTCTGCAGAAGGAACTTTAAAATGAAAGCCCAAATCTTCACTCTTCCAGAAACCAAGGCCTCGCGTACTAAGTACAGCGCTTATAAGAGTGATACGGACTTTGTCAGTAGCGACCAGTAAGAAAAGGAGGCAGAGAAGCTTTTATAAGGAGGGAGTAACTCTGTAGCCTTGTATTAGTTATAGTGCTAAGATAACTCTGATATCTTATCAGCCACCTTGCTGGTGATTAAGTGCTATATAGCTCAGGTGTTCTCAAAGCTGGCACTATTGCCGTGTATTTCATCATTAATACTCCACAGGTTCAGCTATACAGAAACACGGAGAATCCAAGATTATTCTGCCTCTCTAACTACCTTTCCCCTGGGCCCATCAGGCATCCAGAAAAATGAGACTTGTGGACAATTTTCAGAGCAGCCATAGCGCAACTGAAGACACTTCTCTCCACTGAACGTTAAGCCGCTGCACGCGTCCTTGACTGAACTATGACTTACACCTAGGACAGTTTTTAAAAAAAAAAAAAAAAAAAAAGGAACCCAGACAAGTCATTGTTTTTGTCTTTTATGCCACAACGGCAAAGCTGACTTGCCTGTAATCAACTGCAATCAAGATTTGCCAGCAAGAACGCCTTCAAATTATGCTCTTCCAAAATAAACAACGGCACATACGTAAAAAATGAACGATGAAAGTTTACAGCTAGTTTGGAAAAAAGGGTGCCTTGAGTTCAGGAAGGCTGAAGCTAAGAGGACAGTCTCGTATCAGTTATTTGATACTGGTTTTTAGAAAGCACTCGGACCAGTAACAGTCTAATACAAAATTATTCTCAATATTCTCCAGACTACTGACATTTATATTCGAATTAAACGCAACTCAAAAACTCCTCCCTAAGCCTGATTCCCCATTGCTCCAGCCCTACACCAGACCACAATGAAATGGAGCGGGAGGCAGAGTAAAAGGGACTTTGCACTGTGGATCTTAAGCCAGGCCTTAGTTCTAGGCCAAATCAGGTTAAGTCAATGTGGCCTGTTTCACAGCTGCTCTCAGGTCACAGGACCTCAGTCAAAGCCATTTAGCCTAGCAAAACTTTCTGCCCCAAGGATATTTTCTTAAGGGTTATTCCCCTCACTTTAATACCTCTTTAGCCTGTCAAATTAGCATTAAAAGGCTACTGTGTGATTAAGAACTATGTCTCATGACATTCCAGAACTAAGGTGCTTTAGGAATATAGCTTGGTTCACCCTTCTCAATGTTTTAACTTGCTTTACTGCAGGTTCCCTGCAAAAGGTCCAAAAAGGAGCAATAGTACATGAAATACAAACAGAGAGAACAATTTGAACGCACGTACCCAACCCTGCTGACCGAGTTTTTAAAATGCAAGTTCACTGCCTCCGTAAGCCACATAAACCTTGAATTCTTTACGCTAATTTTGCAAATTGAAAATACTGCTCAAGCGTGAAAAATCAGCATGCATGAATATTCTGAAAACGGGAAATTCACGTTCAAGAGGGCCCCACAAAAAGTCTTTGCGCAGAGACTTTCCAGTAGGATGAGCAGCAGCGTTAAAACGAGACCGAATCCAGGCAGCTTCACTCACCGCCCTCAGAGCCAAGCAAGCAGGCGTACAAAGGAGGCGAAACGAGAATTAACACCTTGACGATCCATCAGAAGATTGTAACTCCTTGGGAGGAAGAGTTTTGCTCTTCAGATCGCACCATAACTGCTGCCTAAGTAGCTGTGAGAGAAAGAGGTAGCAAGACAAGAGGGTAACAGCAACAGAAAGTGGAAAGGAGGCAGAGGAGGGAAGAAAGGAATGAAAACAACAACGAATACAAGCTTACTTTAAGAAGAGTCTTTGGACTGCGGAAGGCTTTTTCTGGCATGTCAGAGACCACTAGGTTCTCGAAAAGAAGAACGCGCAGCCTCTCCTCCACCAACACACCAGACGTTAAAAACAAATCTTTCCAGGTACACGCGAGAAAAAGGAAGGACTAGTATTTAGAAGTCAACTTATAACTGTCACCTGAAATATGACAAAACACCTGCCATCTGTAGATATGTCCCAGGCACTTTCTGTACAATAATAAACACACAGCGGTTGTCCCCTTCGTTGTCTCTTTTTCAGAAGGGCAAATTACACAAGCCCAGAACGAGGTAAAAGCAAATTTCTCATGGATTGTCCAAAGAAAGGCCACGGTTCCTCGTATGGCTGCAGCGCCACTCAAGCCAGTTCATCTGCCCTGCTCCAGCCCCTGCCTCTTATCCCATCACAAAATAATGATTCGGCTAGAAAAAAAAAAAAACACAGTTCTCCATGCAGCTGTACAAATGCTTTTGAGAGAAGAGGGAAAACAGTGCATTGAGAGAAAACAAACCACAGCACAGAGCAAGACAACACACTAAAAAAAGCCCATGAAACACCCTTTGGTATTTAAGTTCCTATACCCCACCCCAATCATGAGATAAACAGTCAATAGAAAATAGTTTCCATTTTACATGAAGAAAAAGCGTTCAGTCCAGTAGAGTAATGACGTAAATTACTGCAAGTTCACACTTTTTGTTTACATGAATGGTAAAAGATATGCTTTATTGTAGGGCAGGCAGATACCGCTCCCGGTAGCGCACCTGGAGCGAGATTCCTGTAAGCTCCTTTTCTATTTCAGGGAGATAAACAAGAACTTCTAGGGTTCAACTGATCTTGCCGAACACAGACATCTATGCGAGGGTGAAGTGAACTGTGCCCACAACTCCACCAAGCATAAAAGGAAACAAGCGGCACTCGCACTGGGCCACTTCCACTCCATTTCAGACGGGGACTTCCCAAAGAGATCGCAGCTCACAACACAGTTCAGAATACTCCGAGCACAGCCAAAGCATTCGCGGCACCTTCGTCCTTTCTTCGCACAGTCTCGTTTCCATTAGTGCTACTGAAACAATCCTACTCCCCGAAAAACAACTTCCACCGACAGGAAAAAAAAAAAAAAGAGAGTCAAGAAGCACAATGTTTAACAGCAAGAGATGTTTAATAAGCTAAAGGGGACAGAATAATTCCAGTTATTTCCACCTAGCAGCAGAGGTGGTAGGAAAAAACTGGCACTCAAGTCTTGCTATACTTTCAGCTGCTTTCCATATAATTTCCAGCACCATCTTCCTTTTTTTTAATTTAATACTTGTGTTACAGCATCAGAAATTGCAGCGTCCATAACACAGAACAAATTTTGAATATTTTAATCTGCTGAGCTATCAAAAGACTTGCTCGCTAAGCTTGCTCACTATTCATTACATCACCCAGTTCTAGTTTACTGGGAACTTCAGGATTACTCTTGAAATAGTATTACAGTCCTATCAGTAACCCGGCAGGCTGATTACTCCAAGCGTGCCTCCCAATAGAGAATAGCTCAAATAAGTTTCAAACATGATTTTAATTAGCAAGTATGAAACTGATTCAAGTTTTCAAGCTCGTTTGCCGTTTGTATCTTAGTTATTAAACTTTAAAGGCTGGTATGCTGACAGGCAATAATTAAAACAAGTTGGCATGATACTCTAAAAGACTATTTAATTGCAGAAGTACCCAAGTTTGTCTAAACGCATAATTGCTTAATTACGTAGGTATACATTTAGCATTATTCAGATATAAGTGCACTGTTCACTACTATAAGTCATCTTTTCCCATTTACCATCATTTCCCATTCCCAAGTTTTAAGTTAATTCAATTTCCATTCAAATACAAATCAAACACCACTGCCACTTTCTTTGTACTGTTCTGGCACCCATCTGATCCCTTCGTACATCCAATTAGCTTGCTAAACTTTCAGAAAGTTAACCCAGCAAAATACCATAGGTCTTCTGCCAGGTTAGAGCCAGCAGAGGGGCAGAACTGCTCCTTTAAACAGCAGAAAGCTCATGGCTCGGGTTTGTCAGACTTATCCTTCCTTGATTGTTATTTCTACAGCTTCCCTCCTCCCCCCCAATTACTTCTCAATCCTCCGAGAGTAATTTCTGTGAGCGCATGGCACTGTCACTAAATATGTATTTTTCGACTTGACGTAACACACAAAGCAAACCAAAGAGGAACAAAATATTTTACCATTGCTAATGGGAACCCACAAGACTAGGGCACAAGTTTACGCGCAGCTACCTGGTTAGGGAGTCTTCCAAACAGACTTGAGTCAGGCACACACAGCTTTGCCCTGACAACTCCTCCAGAAGTTGTACAGTGCCGACAAAGCAAGTTCACATAACAGATGTACGGGAGTTCACTCAGACTAAAATTAGGCCTATTTCAATTACTGCTCTGCTAATTACTAATTCTGCCTGAGACTTTTTTTGATGGCCCTTGAAGTGTGCTACAAGGCAGCCACCTTTTCATCTGGGCAAAACCCCATGATTTGCAAAGTTCTCATTCAGATCAATCTGTTGAAATCTCAAGTTCTGGTTGATTTGATAAAGGGAAGCCAGCAAAGGTCTTCCTGCGACATACCTTCAACCTATCTGCTAGTCAGGTAAGAAAATATCATGAGAAAAGTTGGTCAGAAGGAGAACAATTAGCAGCTGAGGAACATACACCTGTCCAAGGAAAATTTTACCTTACTCCACAGCTGCTCAGCGTAGACCACAGCAGTCAGCATTTGCTTTACAGTCAGCAAGATAATTCTGCTTTATGCAAGACGCGAGGACAGCTCATATCCACCCCCTTGTCCAAAAGGCAAGGTTTTGGGGGTATTTTTTTCTTTAAACTAGAGACTTTTTCCCTTTTAGGAAAGATATTGCCATTGTTACAGAAACTTGCCTGAACCACATCAGAACCCTGCAAAGACTCTCATCTGGCTTAAAATATGTTCTACCAGCTTCACGGCTGAACAAAATCAGCACTTGGGTTAAGCTCTGAGTAACAGGGCACGCAAACTAAAGGACTGTATTAATCCACATACTCACAGCTCACTTCTGTGTCGTCTTGTTCTGAATACCCACGTTAGCTGTGCATTTCAAACATCTCCACAGAGCAGATGAAACCTTCTGCCATTGCTCACGACGGCAGCGAGAAGCTGTCACTGAAGTACAGACTGACAAGAAGAACAAAGCATGAAGGTACGCGCTGTGCGTTATTTAGCATTATGTTATTTGGTATTTCTAGTATTAGTTATTTCATATTATGGCTATGGACCAAAGGTGTAGCAGTGTTTTTAGTATCACAAGTTCATCTTCCGATACTTCAGCTCTATCAGGTGCATCATTTAAACTACAAACGGCTTTCTGTCCAGTTTTGATTATTGTCAAAGGACACTTCAAGTTAAGGATGGCGCAACTACTTGTATCAAACATACACATTCATCATCTTTTTTTTCCTTCACCTATTTTAGGGCAAGGGGTAAAACTGCCACATATTCAATAAGGAAACGGAGAAAGGAGTTTCAGCAGACAACATTTTATAAGCCTAACTACTGCACTAGCAAGTCAGCCACTATCCTGCTAAGTCCAGTGTTTCTTCAGCAGACAACATTTTATAAACCTAACTACTGCACTAGCAAGTCAGCCACTATCCTGCTAAGTCCAGTGTTTCTTCAGCAGACAACATTTTATAAACCTAACTACTGCACTAGCAGGTCAGCCACTATCCTGCTAAGTCCACTGTTTCTTAGAAAGATTAGATTTCTCTGCACGCACGCGAGGATTGGTGTGGCTGCAAACAGGAAGGCCGCAAGTAACAAATGCTACCCATTCTACTTGGGAGGATGAATAAAACCCTCTTTCAAAGGCAGCAAATGAATATTAACCTATCAGATTTTGAGAGAGAACTGTCCATTTCCTATTTCTGGGATCTTGCTTAGAAAGTTTCTGATTTCAAGATATTTGCTCAAGTCTTCACTGCTACTGAACAGTTCCTGTTTTCGGTTTTAATGCTGTTCCACATTTCTCTGGATACATGCCATTTTGCTCCTCCTTCAGGCTTCGCAGTCGCTTTGAATGAGACCAGCCAATCAGGACAGGACCATTCCAAGCCTTTTAGAAAAGTTATAATTAGCAACCCTTCTCCCCGCACGGAAGACAGTAATACAGATGCAGCTGAGCTGTAAGTGGTTACTGAAGTGACAGAACTCCCCCCTCCCCTCCCTGTCCTGAAGCAAAATACTAGAAATGGTAATGAAGCCGCTCAATTCCATTAAAAAAAGACTTGGGGGCGGGGGGGGGGGCGGAGGCAAGTATTGTTTCTCAAGAGCAAAGGCAGCAACACAAAGCAACTCAAGCACACTCTGGCAGCTCCAAAATACTTGAGACTAAACAATTACTTCAGGATTAAGAAAGATTTGACCGAGGTTATCAGTCATCACTTTCCTCCACCTCCAAATTAAGAAGTCACTGCCTAGCACAAACAAGTTACTACAGGACAAATTCTGCACACACACACACACAAAACCCTCAAGTCTCACACGAGACGGATGAAACAGATATAAGAGTCAAAACAGGCTTTGTGTTTTTCTGCCCTCCTATCCCGTTCCCAACTGGCAGATCAATGTTTCATATTCTTATTGCTAGATATTTCATATCGTTCTTGCATCCCTATAGCTAGCAATACACTTTTTTTTCCCCCCTCTGATATTTAACACAATCTCTAGAGCCAAACAGAAAAGTGCTGTTCTAACTTACGGCACAGAGGTATGGACCCCAAGCTGGCTTCACAACTAATCAGTTTTAAGGAAAGAGACATGAACTAGACACAGTCTAGACGCAGTTTCTGGAAGTACAAGCCAATTTTACACTGAAATGCTTCTAACCCTCTTGGATGTCAAAGTACAGTACAAGAAATGCAATGATGCTTTTTGACATCTGCAAACAGCTATCTCCAGCTTCCCCTAAAAACTGCCAAAGCTAACAGTCAAACAATTGACCCAAAATGATTTTTCAGTATCTTCTCATGAAGACTGTATGCCGAAGAACACTTTCAGTTTGGAGATTTTCAATGCCTTTTTACAAACAGAAAGCTCTCCAAAGCCTACATCTCTCTGCACTGTCGTTTAACAAATATCAAGCTATTGGGACCCACTTAACAAAAATAACAGGCTACAGAAACAACTTGCACGCTAGGAATCATCACATCAGAGAATGACAACAGCAAAACCTTCATACTTCCAAATAGCTGGTCCCATATGGCACAAATGAATCAATGTGTGGTTGCAGCAGAACCCAAGTCCATCTTTCTTTCATTGTGAATTATCTGCATCTCCATCCTGAAAGTGTTAAAGCAAGCCCACTCCTCCTTTATCACTGGCATACAACCAGGTCTTAATCCCAGTTAAGAGAAGTTACTCGCTAATCTTACTTCAACATATTTCTTTAAACTGTCAAAACAAAAAATTTCAAACGGATCAGTCAGCTAGGATACTCATCCCTCTAGTAAAATCCTGGAAAGAGCTGCGAAGGTCTATCCATACAATTTGCATGCAAGTGAGCTGCACTTGGGATTCCCTGACTACTCTAGAGTTTCCCCTTTCATATCCGCTCTGCACAACAGCTCCAGTTCAGAGCTGTTCTTTGAATCACACTTTAATCCTGACCAAAAAAAAAGAGTAGCAAAGCAAGTACCTCTGCCAATATTTCTCCACAGGCTTTCCCGCTTTGATGTTACAGAGTTTTAATATAGCTATTATTCAATCCCCCCCCCCCCAAACCCCCACTCCCCCCCCCCCACTTGCCCCCCTGCCTGGCCACCCTCCCCCACCCCCTTCCTAACCACTCCACACGGCCACCACGCGGCGCAATGCCTCATCCCATTCCACCTTCACATGGTCTAGGCCACAAAGTACCTCTGCCAATATTTCTCCACAGGCTTTCCCGCTTTGATGTTACAGAGTTTTAATATAGCTATTATTCAATCCCCCCCCCCAACTATCAACTTTCTCGTCTGCTTAGCAGGAAGCTAAATAACCAGATTCAAACCCCCATGAACTCGAAGTTCCCTCCAGCATGACCAGGAACAGGAGCACAAATGTTTTCTTCCACTTGCTTACACACTGTGTTCTTTACCGCTTTGGTCGAAGCCAAGATACAATTCATCCTTGGACAAAAGTCAGATTTAAGCAGAGGGAAGAACTATGCCTTCCAGCAAAGCCCAGGAGATGACACAAAAGCACTGCTAACAGCCTTCATAGTTTATTTGCCTTCACTGCACCCCTCCCTGTACCTGTGTTAACATCCCTATTCACCGGTTTCTGGTCTACCTCTAGTTTAGGTTGTGCTCTTTCCTATATGCTATTTCTGAGATATTGGTGCATCATACCAAAGAGGAGTTAAAGCAGAATAAATCCGCTTACACACCAAATCACCCGTCTTTACCTTTAAGGCCATGAGAAACGTCAGAGCCACAAGAAAAGCAATGCCTTTCTGTGGGAATTATACCCTGTAGAAACATCACAAGCAGACGCGTTCAGATTACCATGATCCAATCACTACTATTTCCTAATGCAAGATGTCTTCTTACTTCCAGGCCCTTTGTATATTTAGGGATGCAATCTCTGCAAGGAACCCGACGGTTTAACAATAACTACCAAAGCAAATACTACTACACTAAGGCATTGAAACTAGCAGCCACCCAAACGTATTAATGGATAACTACAAACAGCAGTGATAAAAGATGACAGCGAAATAACGCGGCTGTTCTTCAAATCTACCCTTACATGCAGCTTTACAGGATAGGGACTGCAGATATGCACAATACAATCTCAAGAGTCAAATCCCACAGATTCCACTGGGGTTTCATGCAATGCAGGGATCCACCCACAGATTTAGTTGCAGAACTGCACGCAATTCTTTCGCAGCCAGACACTCGATATCTTCTTAACAGAGACGGTAGTGTATTTATTTCTCAAAGAGCAAGGTAGAATATCTTCCTGCAAACAAATGGTTGACATTCTTGAATTTTCTCCAAATACTAAATGTTTGCCAGCAGATAATTACCAGACCAAAAGTTTACTCTGAGAAATTGTTCCAAGTATCGAGAAACCATAGCAAGGCCGTTTGATTATGTGCAGAGAAGTACACTTCAATTGAAGTTGCTCAAGTGTGGAAGACTGAAAATAACTCACTGAAAAGTAATTAGGTAACAAAAGCACCGTAGTGACCGTCATGTGGTTTGCTGGAATAAGATCGTTTGCTAGAATAAGATCAATTCTTACATATGCTGGTTCCCAATCAAAGCAGAATCCACATTTCCTCTTCAAAATGTAGATGGGATTTATGCTAAAGATGGGTTTTCTGCCAACAGTAATTTAGCTAACAGTTGGTCACCTCCATTTAAGTCACATTCACCAGAGAATCATCAGATAATATAACAGCAACAGTTATTCAGCTGTAGCAGTCTTAAGTAATTAATGTAGTGGGGGGGAGGAATCAGGAAAGTCATGTTTCACCTGTTTGATACTATGTGCTTTACTACTTTTAAAATGAGTAATCCCATCTTTTGCCAAGCTGCAAACATTAGAAGCTGTGTGGGAACAACCAGCCTCACACCGGTGCTCTTCCAGTACGGGACTTTTATTTACAGTCGCTATCACTGAGCATGGTTAATCAACTCAGAGGTGTGTAGAATTCAAATATTTTTTTCCCCTAATGCTTTAAAACATTAAAGGGCCCCCAGTTTACAACAGAAAACAGTTTAGGATGACCTTTAATTCACACTGCATTAAGTTTAACACTAGAAACTCACATCAACATCAATTTAATTTACATTAATCTCTGCAAACACTTACGTTAGGTAGTAATTTCATTGAACCAGAATTATGTATGCAGTAAAGTTATAGCTGTGTTTAAGCACGGGAAGGAAGTTTAATTCTCAGTATTTTATTTGCCTGAAACAGTTTAGCTAAATTCAGGCAAGATAACTACCCAAAAGTTGGGACGAGAAGTATAAATAAAGCACTTAGCTAAAAACAAGTTTTAATCTGAAGTCAGTGCACCATAAACGTAAGATCAAGTCTCCGTAAAACTACTACAAGCGTTTTAAGTCATACAGACTACTCTGATACTTTGAAGGACTACACAGGTGATATCAACAGCATTAATATAAGCCAATAATCAAAGT